TGTAATCCCAGCACTTTGGGAGGCCGAGGTGGGTGGATCATGAGGTCAGGAGTTCGAGACCATCCTGGCTAACATGGTGAAACCCCGTCTCTACTAAAATTACAAAAAATTAGCCGGGCGTGGTGGCGTGTGCCTGTAGTCCCAGCTACTTGGGAAGCTGAGGCAGGAGAATGGCGTGAACCCGGGAGGCCGAGCGGAGCTTGCAGTGAGCCAAGATTGTGCCACTGCACTCCAGCCTGGGCGACAGAGCGAGACTCCGTCTCAAAAACAAAAAACAACAAAAAACAAAACAAAGAAAGACATAAAAGACTCAAAATGGAAACAACTCAAATACACATCCATAGGTGACTGGATGAGCAAATTGTGGCACAGTCCATCCATACTGTAGGATCCTGTTCTGTAATAAAGAATGGACTGCTGGGGAAAAAAAAAAAAAGAAAAGAAAAGAAACAGAATTAAATTCCCCTAGAGTTAAATAGAGAAAAGCAAATTATTTTGCTTTATTTTTAAAGTTTTAATTAATTCAAAGTGATTTGCTGTTTAAAAAAAAAAGTACACACACATACACACACACAAAAATGAAAAAGTGATTTGCTATTGTACTGACCTGTTTTTAACTGTGACAGGTCTCAACTGAGTTTAGTAATTTTTTTGGTGATTTTGCTATCAAGTAAAAATTTGATTGGGTGTTTTGAGAGTAAATTGTATGTAGCAGAAGAGTAAGTTAGATGTATTGGTATAGGATCATAAGTTCAGTTGTATTGATGGTTACTGACTGGTCTTAAGGGTTGTGGCTTCATTTTTACTCTTTTAGAATATATGTTTTATAAGGTGTTTAAAGGGTTATTATTCATGTATTCAAAAGCCTTATGAGTCAATAAGAAAAATACAATTCAGTAGATAAATGAGCAAATGATATTAATAGGTAATTCATTTTAAAAGGTAATTCATTTTAATAGGTAATTCATTTTAAAAACATTAAGTTTTTAAACATATTAGTTTAAAAACATTAAGTTTTTAAACATATTAGTTTGCCAGGGCCGCCATAATAAAATACCACAGACTGGGTGGCTTTAACAACAGAAATTTATTTTCTCACAGTTCTGGAGGCTGAAAGTCTAAAATCTAGAAAGATATCAGCAGCTTTGGTTTCTTCTGAGACCTCTCTTTGGCTTGTAGATCGCAGCCTTCTTGCTGTACCCTCACATAACCTTTTCGCTGTGTGTTTGCATGCACATGCACACATTCCTGGTGTCTCCTTTTCTTATGAAGACATCAGCCGTATTAGGTTAGGGCCCCACTTGGCCAGGCGCGGTGGTGTATGCCTGTAATCCCAGCACTTTGGGAGGCTGAGGGCAGGTGGATCACGAGGTCAGGAGTTCAAGACCAGCCTGGTCAAGATGGTCTTGGCTCTCTCCACTAAAAATACAAAATTTAGCTGGGCGTGTTGGTGGGCGCCTGTAATCTCAGCTACTCAGGACGCTGAGGCAGAGAATTGCTTGAACCCGGGAGGCAGCTCCACTGCACTCCAACCTGGGCGACAGAGCGAGACTCCATCTCAAAAAAAACAAATTAAAAAAACATTAGGGCCCCACTCTTATGTCCTCATGTAACCTTAATTATTTCTTTAAAGGCCTTATCTCCAAATAGAGTCACATTGGCAATTAGGGCCTCAACATACGAATTCGGGGGTGACACAACTCAGTCTGTAATATAAACATATTTTAAAAGCTCAGTCATATTAGTATTAAGTGAAATATAACTTTATATTTAAATGTAGGCCTGGCGCGGTGGCTCATGCCTGTAATCCCAGCACTTTGGGAGTTAGAGGCAGGCGGATCACTTGAGGTCAGGAGTTCAAGACCAGCCTAGCCAATATGGTGAAACCCCGTCTCTACTAAAAATACAAAAAAAAGTTAGCCAGGCTTGGT